TGTGTGTGTGTGTGTGTGTGTGTTTTGGTGGGGGGGGGGTGGTATTTGTTTATTTTTGTTTGGTTTTGGTGCATCCCCTTCTTTAAAATACAGGCTCCAGAAGGGTAGAGAAGGGACTTTGTGTGGTTCACCATTATATCCTTCCTGTCTAATGTACTAACTGGCTTGAAATAGATGCTCAGTAAATATTGGTTAAATAAATGCATAAGTGAATAGATGGATGAATGAGAGGGTAAATGCACCCTACAGATCAATTTGTATTTCTTAAAGTTATAAAATCTTTGGTTTGGAAAAAATCCCAGAACTCCCTAATATAAAGAGGATATTTCCATGCTACCCACCAGCACCCGCGGTTGCTTGCTGTTGGAGTCAGAGGCCTGGACGTGGAGACCGGCTTGGGGATGTGGTGAGCAGGCTGCCTGGGTGGTGCTCACTGGCTGCTGCACTCCCACAAATCATCTGAAAAGCTAAATCATGTTTAAATCCCCCTGACTGTGGCTACCGGGAACTATGAAGGACACTCACGCATAATTTACATACTGCCAAGGTCCTGAGAGCCTCTACATAAAGCCCCCGTGGGGCCCCCAGGCACTATTTTTGAGCAGGACATCAAGTGACAGATTAAATGGAGTCTGTTCCCCCAACACCAGGGGAAAAGGAAGCCTCACCCTCCACTTGCTGACATCTGCAAACATCTTAAACCACAGTTGCTGCAAGATGCCTCCTGGGACAGCCAGTATGACATGGGACCTGGGACACACATGCTCCCGTCCCTTCCATGTCACACAGCTCCACGGCAAACAGGTATGTGTGCTCAGACTCTCATTCCTATTCCAGATTCAAACCATAAAAATTGTTTTCCTCTCAATGCACAGGAGAAGGGGGCTTTGCAAGGGCACTTTGCCTTCTGCCTATAAAATGTTGGATCACATTTGGTCACAACATGATGATGACACTAGTAATGAATCAGCCCGTGCAGCAACCATTAGAGGTTCTGAATCCAGACCCAACAGACATATTTCTGAGGGCAGAGCAGCTCATAAGCGAGGCTTTGCCACCCCAGCCATCACAGTGGGCTGCAGAATGTGCTACTGTAATCACCAGGTTGAATTTTTATTATCTGACAAAATGGAAAGCAGAAAAGCAAGGCCTATGACACTCCGAGTGGTTTATATATTTGGGGGACCCAAAGAAGAATAGTACTTTTCTTATTGTTTTGTTGTGTTTGTGCACGGCTCAGAGGAATCTCCACAACAGAGCCAAATAGAACGACCAAGTGAACACAGGCTGGCACATCAGCAGAAGGCCACTTACATGTCCACTGTGTTCAAGAACCTTCCAGAAACATGAAGATGGTCTGTCTCTGGCCCAAAGGACCCATATGCCTGATTGGACTTTGGTTCATGTGTGATCTGCTTCAGTGGTAAATTTCTTTGTTAGTGGGGACTTCCTGCTAGAGCATGAGATATTCTCTGAGAACTTACCACTACACTGTTCCCTTCACCCCTATCACTGAACCAGGCCATAACACACCCCCCAGGAAATCATCTATTTCATTAGTTGTTTGTAAGCAAGGAAAGGAAGGCCCGTGTTGACTTTCCATTTGCATCCTCCATGCCTAGCACATTACTTTGTTGAATGAATGAGTAAATGGATGGATGGACAGATGAATAGAGAATGATGTTTTAGCCACATTATATCATTTGAGCCTTACAACAACCCTGGGAAGTAATGATAACAGTTAACACTTACGTTGTGCTAATTACATGCCAGTCACTATTCTTAAATCTTCATACATATTAACTCTTTTTTAACCCTCTGGAGCCCTAAGAAATGAGGGCTATTATTATCTCCACTTAACAGATGAAGAAGCTGTTGCAGGCATTGAGGTCGCACTGCTAGCAGGAGGCAGAGCAGGCTCCGGGGTAGGTGCTGGGTAGCACTGTACTTCTCCATTAGCTGCACTTAATGGAGCAGGAAACAAAGCAATGTTAATTTCAATAAGGCTACCTGCTACGGACACACAGGCCTAGAGAGGTTAGAGCCAGGAAGTGAACCCAAATAGCCCAACTCAGAGTACACCTTGGAGAATGTGCCCCGTAGCACACATGGGAGAAGGACGATCCACTGCAAACAACTGAGATCAGAAGAAGGAGCAGTGTCCTGGAAGCCAGGTGAGAAAACAGGCACTGGTTTGCTCTGCACCATCCTCCCAGAACAGAGGTGTCACAGGGTCCAGGAAAGAAAGAAAAAACAAAAAAGCAAACCTGGAAAACACAGGCTCCATTTCAACTCTCCTGAAATCATGTGGTTTTGGTTGCAAAAGGGGAAATTTGCGGGCATATCCCCGCATTCAGTCCCAGAACATTCATTCCAGCCTGAGTCAAGGTCAGAGAAGACCTGGGCAAAGTTCTTGCAGAAGTTACAAGAATCACAGGCTACGCAGAGCTTGGAGAAGACCTTTCCAGAGATTGGATTTTACCACCAACTCTGCCCAAGAGTCTGGGACAGTAGAGCAACCCCTGATGACAACAGAGGCCAGGACAAAATGAAAGTTTACAGCCATGAAGAGGAAGAAAAAGCATTAGTGTGTGAGTGTGGTTGGCTTCATAACTTAAGAGACAATTGCTTCTCTTTAAGAGGGCACATGGAAGCAGGGATACATGGGTTTGGCATTTGGACAGGTTAGTCTCTTAAATTTCCAACTACACATTAAGCCAGATGTTAAGTTGAAAAAAAAAAAAAGCAGTATTGTTACCTTGTCTGAACAGATGAGAAGATTTGGGAGAAAGAAATTAAAGTGCAATAATTAAGAAAGCTTAGTCGGGGCTGAGGATAGGGCTCAGCGGTAGAGCGTTTGCTCAGCATGCACAAGGCCCTGGGGTGGATTCCCAGCACGAGGTGGGGAAGAAAGGGAGAGAGAGAGAGAGAGAGAGAGAGAGAAGGAGCAAGGAGGAACAGGGAGGAAGGAAGGAAAGAAAACTTGGTCAAACTGGGAAGGAGGGGATAAAGGGGGTGAGAAGAGACAGGTAGGCTATTCCCCTCCACCTCCACTTCCCACCTTTCCTTATACATATCTGAAAAGGGAAGGCAGCAGGTTTGAACCCAAAGGCTGCACAGGACCGACTGAAGTTCATTAGAGAGACAAATTAAAGCTACAACTTTGACTCACATTGCAGTCCCAAGACTAGAAACACTTCTCTCCCTCAGAGGATTAAAAAAGAAAAAGGAAGGGGAAAAGAAAAGAAAGGGGAAAATAAAAAGAAGAAAAAAAATAAAAAGAAGATCCCTCAAAAGTCAACAGAGAGAAATCCAGAGAAATGTTCCCTCTGAGAGTCATAGTTCAGCTGAGACATGTGGGATTTGCAAATTACCACTAATGTGAGTGACAGGCAGGCCTTGCTCTCAGGCAAGTGCCTGTACCCTGGAAGGGTTCTGAAACCAGACCTTATTGTTTCATTTTTTTCTACCAAACTGAAACCAAAAGGTGCTTGGCCCCATGAAAACGGATGGGGAGAAGCCACTAGGTAAGGTTTCACTGCAAACAGCCTTTTTATAAAATCAAAGCGCACATCTCTGAAAATTTTTTGATCTACTCTTTTAAAATGAAAGTTTTGCTGAAAAAGTCATGTAGTATGATTAAAAAAAAAAAACTTTGTTGCAAGTGATATGCTACATTAGTTGTCTAGGCACCCCATAGGGAGTCATTTGAGAGGATCTCTTTTAATGAATGGACAGGAGTTTCCCTGTAGAACTCGGTCCCCTTGAAATGCACACACAACCAGAGCACTGGACCCCTCAGATCTCACACCTAGTTTCCAGCTGAAGACACTAATGAGAGTTAATCACTATTCGCTGGATCCTGAGGTCCTGCTTCTTGAACTGGACGGGAATCTGTGCACCCTTCTGGGCTTCTAAACTTCCTACTACTAGGTTTCAAGAATCAGCTACACTCTGTGTCTTGGTGATTTTCTTTCTTTCTTTCTTTTCTTTCTTTCTTTTTTTTTCTTTCACGCTCGGAAAACCGCAAAGGGATTTAACCAAAAGGAAGCAAAGGTTTTCTTTTTATAAATTCGATTAGTCTTTTCCACTCTCTCTGCCTCGGGACATTTCCTTTGGGAGGAATTTTATACCCGGAGACCTCTTAGCGAGGCACTGTTGCATGCGGGGCGTAGTGAATTTAACAGCAACATGCTCAATGTGGACGGAAAGTAAAGATCGGCAGGCACTTGCAGTCGCTAACCAAGTCACTTTTTGAATGCTGCTGTGGGAATGGCCCTGCAGGGGAAGAAAGACGAAGTTTGCCCGGGCAGGCAGTTTAGGATCCAGGGCTGGGGCGCATACGGGTGGTTACCAAGACCACCTTCAGCTCGTCAGGGCCGAATTTCCCGCCTGAGCCGGCGCCGGGGAGCCCGGTCCTAGCGCTGCACCCGGCGCCCGTCTGGAGATAGCCCTTGGCGGTGGGCAGGGGGAGGCCCCCCAAAACTGTTCCTTTTCGCCTCCAGGACTCTGCTGCGGAGTGAGCGAGCATGCCAAGAGCGCACAGCTAGCATCGACCAGGGGCGGGGACACCCACCAGACACTGCTATGGCAGGCCTCGGGTTCGAAGCTTCTCTAGGGTCAGAAGGGAATTAGGGTTTGAGCGACAGCAGATGGGTTAGGAGGGAGTTTCTGAAACTCCTAGAGAGGCGTAGGGAAATAGGCGTAGGGTTTGGGAAATACTCGAACCCGCGGAGGGTTTTTCCAAACTTGTTCTTTGCTATATGCTCTTTTCCCTGCCTTCCTCTTCCTCCCACGACTCCAGCCCCAACCCTGGAAGATCCCTAAGGACTAGGGTACATGCCGCCTCAACCCTTCTTCCCTGTTCTCCTTCCTCAAGTTTCCAGAGACAGAAAATACAAATAAACCCCGGTTGGTTACTGCGGGTGCATCTAGGTACCCCACCCCCAAACAGACACAGACACACACGCACGCGCGCACACACCACACACACACACACACACACACACACACACACCCTCACCACCCGCTGTGACCCACCCACCACCGGGTAGGGGAGGGATTGGGAACCTGATCTCCGGGCTCCTGCCCCGAACGTTTCCCCATCAATAACGTTGATACCATCGATGCTCCTCCTCCCCCGCCCTCCCGGGGGCCGCTGCCGCCTTTTTGCCGCTTTTTGCTAGGCGCAGGAAAATGAAACCTCCTATACAGCTCTCCTGGCCTCGGTGGGGGGCCAGCGGGGCCTGGGCCCGAGACTTAGGAAGCTGGGTCGCCGGTAGGGCGCTTGTGGGGGGAGGCAGGGGGGACGTTCCCCAGGTCTGGGGTAGGGGGCCCGTCCTGCGAGGGTGAGACGGGAAAGAGGGTCTGGGTCCCAAGCAAGGCCTCATCCCATGCCTGAGGTCAGACTGGGCCTGAGTAAGTGAAGGGATGCAGGTAGAAGCATCAGACTTCGGATTGGGGTGCCTCCAGGCGCTGTCCGCTTCCCAGGACTGACAACTGAACGAAGTCCCCAAACCCTTTCTCTAGGAATGCGTCTGGGGCCTGGAGCACAGCCCTTGGGCCCTGACAACGCACCAAGGACACTCCAGGTCTTGGGAAAACTGAGGCGGACATATGGGTAGAAAGACATCAAACCCCCAGGATGGGAGTCTGCAGAACGGCCGAACGCCTCCCCCGGGTGTGGTTCCCCTCGGTCCTCGAGGTCGCGACCCTGGCGCAGCTGCTGCATTTCTTCGGGCCACCCCGATTCTCTATCGCGAATCATCCCTTAAGTACTCGCCCTCTAGAGGAACCCGCAAGTCCCAACTTCTTCCTCCCAATTCCCACAGCAGCTGTCCCCATTCAGGGGCTGGGAGGGCGCAACCCCAGGGAGGGCGCTTAGGTCTTTGGAGAAACTGGACGTAGCGGCAATTATCGCTGTGGCACCTAACTCGCACTCGCTGCTTTCTTCCGAACCTCTCAAAAAATAAAAATCACCCCTACTGTCTTCGTTTTTTATTGATTTCATTATTTCTTAACATCGTGGCACGCGGATCGTCGCCAGCTCCCTGACACTGAAGCGCCCGCATAAGCGAACCACGGAACTTGGGCCGGAGACAATGGCCCGTAATTGATGTATTGCCACCAACAATAAAGACCAATTCTCCTCTCCCCGCCATTCCGTCCGTCCCCTTCCTCCCATCCCCCCTCTCCTCCGCCTCCCCTCTCCTTTCCCGGCCACAGAGGGAAAGAAAACAAACAAGAAATTAGCTGGGGACGCCGAGCGTAGAGCGAGACGCCTGCCTCTACGCCGTCGAGGACGCAAAAGAACGAAAAAAGTTATTAAAGTTTGGATTCCCCAATTAATTCGTCTCTGAGCTCCCATTTTTAATTAAACAGCGCGAAACAGCTTTTGAGTATTCATTTGGTTTGGTTGGTTGTGGTGGTGTCTTGCGGGGGAGGGAAATCTCCCCCCCCCCGCCTTAATCTTAATCACACATAGAGCAAGTAACAAACACGTGTGAAACTGTTCCCCGGAGCTTCCCGCGGCGCACACGGCGCGAACCGGGATAAAGGGTTTGCGGGACCGCCAACTCCTTTAGGTTCCTAACAGCACGCGGTGCCCCGGAGGCCCGAACTTTCAAGAAGCCAAGAATGTTAGAGACGGATGCGGGAGGCTCCGAACGCAAGCGTACAGGGGAAATGTGGGTGCTAGTGCACGTGGCCGCGTTTGGGTACCCGAAAGAGTGCGGGTTGGTGTGTTTTGGAGGACCCCTGTTTGCGGAGTGGGGGGGGGGCGGGTGCGGGATTTACACGTGCTCCTGCACACGTTCCCGAGGGTTTGGGGGAAGCAAGCCGCTCGCACCCCAGGAGCGCACAGATCTATCTTTGCCGAGGGATCTCTTTAAATATTCAGTGAGAAATAATGGCATTTGAAGCACCACCTATGGAAACATTATTATCTTCATTCTTCAACATCAGACCCACTGATAGCTTCGTTTGTCTTTTTATCAAAATCTACTGTACCCAACAGGACCTGGGGAGAAAGAGAGCGAGGCGGGGAAGAGGGGAAAAGACCGAGCCACAGAGAGAGACGGAGAGGTTGTGTTGGCGACCGAGCAAGGGCAGAAAATAAGAGGGAGAAAAGGTAGAAAGGGCGAATAGGGAGAATGAAAGAAGGGATAAGTTATACCAAGAAAAAATAATAAAAAGTCAGAAGATAGAAAACAAACATTGAGCTGCACACAAAAAGATTTAGACCAAAAAAAAAAAAAAACTTAAGCGAAGAGAAAAAGAGTCATTTAGGGGAGCGCGGTATGGGTCCCAAGTACCCGAAGCTCTGCTCGGGTGATTGGTGCCCACTTCGCGCGAACCGACTGGGCAGTACCCAGACTCAAGGGCGCTCCGGAATTGGGGCGTCCTTATGAGCCCTCTCCTTTCCCGATCGCGAGATAGGGCAAGGATTGTGTATCTGCACCCCCCCCCCCGGCCTTCCCCCATTATTCAGCCGAAGTTTAGTTTAGTTTAGTCCTTCTGGTGCAGGACTTCGGGAACCTTCGAGCAAGGAGACCCCGAGGCGCGAGGGGAAGAGCTAGGCTGAGCTGAGGACGGAGCTTCAGGTTCGCGGGCGTCTGAGCCCGGCAGAGGGAGTGCGGGACCGGGGCTCCGGGCTCCAGGGCGCGGGTAGGGTGGCTGCATCCCAGCTCCGGGCGACGGAGATAGAGCGAAAAGTTTGGGCGCCGCGCTCGGCAAATGCCGGAAAAGTGGAGGCGAGCTTCTGCTCAGCCAGGGAGCAGCGGATAGGGACCCCCAACCCTCTCACTCCTGGCTCAGCACCGCCACCTCATCTCAGAGGCAGGGGGGAGATCCCCTCCCCCAGGGTAGGGAGCCCAGGGGTCGGGGGGACTGGCCATGCCCTGGGTCAGGGACTGCTGAGCCGCGCCTCCCAGGCCCCAGGCGCGCCACCACGCTCAGGATAAGCAGCAACCCCTCCCCTCCCCCCCGGCCGGAGCTGAACTCGGAGCCCAGGCCGGTCCCGGCTCTCCACCCGCCCGGGGCTCGGCGGCGCCAACGCCGCCGCCGCCTCCCCGCGGAGTGACGCGCCCTGCAGCCAACCGGGGCAGCCGGGGGGGGAGGATCGGGAGGGGTCCTGGGCGGAGCCGAGCCGCCCCCTTATCCCACCGGCTCGGGGCGCTTCTCCCGAAAACTTCAGCCCTAATTGTCCTGGGAATGTCCGAGGTAGAGAAAGGGAGCCAGGGAGCCAGCGTGAGGCTGGAGGATCGGGGCCCCCTGGGAGGGGGAAGATGGGGGTGGCGAGAGAGCTGCCCCTCCCCCCCGTCCCAAACCCATCACGTTCCCAAACCTTTCCTCGATCCTCTTCTCCGCGCCCCCGCGAGCCCGGGATCCAGGGCATGGAGAACTCGGGGCGAAGGCACGCCGAGCCAGGCGGCGGGCGGGGAGGCCTGGCCGCGGGCTGGAGGCGGACCGGCGTGGGGCTGGCTCTTCCCCACTCGCTTTTTTTTTTTTATGAGGGTGGGGGTGGGCTGCTTTCTGGTAGCTCTTAAAGAAACGAAGAAACACTCACGAAACGGGACGCCCTCCCCCCAAAATCCCGCCACGGGACTCCCTCCCCCCGCGGGCCGGCGCTCGGCGTGCCAGAGTTGGGAAGTTCGCGGCGCGCCCGCAGCCCAGGTCCCCAGCCCCCGCCACCCGGCCCCACCCCCCGCCCGGGGCGGCTTCATTCCGGGGAGGGCATGCTAATTTGGGTCAGCCCAGCCCGGGATGGGGGGCGGGGGAGGGAAGGAGCGGGGGGCGCCGGCCGGGGCGCCGGGCGCGCAGTGGCGAGGAGGCAGGCCCCCGGCGGCCGGGCCGCGGAGTCCCGGGCGGTCGCGAAGAGGGTTAACCCAGTGTCGGGCGGCGCGGCTCACAGAGCCAGCCCCGCGGCCGGCTTATTGGGCCAGCGCGCGGAGAGACAGGGGTCTGCAGCAAATCACGAACTAATTGATTAAGGCGAGCGGGTTTGAATAGCGCTGGCCCGGTGCCAATCGCCTTTCAAAGAGCCCCTCTATGATTAATCGCAATGCATTATTGATAATCATAATTATAGCAGGACACATGCGCGCTGCGCCCGGGGCCGGGGAGCCGGGGAGGGGGCGGGCGGGCCGGCGGGCGGGGGGAGCCGCCGCCGCCGCCGCCGCTCGATTTCCGTAATTTTGAGAAGATTTTTTTTTAGTAATTTTTTATTCTGCCCCAGCTGATGTTTGAGCCAGCATGTCGCGGAGGAAGCAAGCGAAGCCTCAACATTTCCAATCCGACCCCGAAGTGGCCTCGCTCCCCCGGCGAGATGGTGAGTGCTCCGGCCCGCGCCGCGGACACACAGACACACACGCACTCACACGCACACTCGGACCCACGCACACGCGGCGGGCCCCCAGCGCCCACTGCCCCTCCGCCGCCGCCGTCGCCCGCGTCCCCGCTCGCCTTTTCGACTGGGCATATTTTTTCTTTTCTTTTTTAATTTGCAATTTGCCTTGACTGGGCTTCCCACTGCCCCGGGGAAGGCAAGCACATCTCGGGGCAGGACCTTTCCGGAGTTGCAGTGTCCTCCTAGGGGAGGAGGGAGGGAATGCCGGCCTTACTTCTCCGTCCCGGCTTTTCCAGGGAACCGAGCCCAGGGAGAGCCAAGCCTCGGCTGGACCCCGGCGCCCCTCGGCTGGACCTCGGGGCGTGGGTGCAGGCAAAGGCCGTCCGTGCCTGCCGACGCGAGGCCCCTAGTGCTCCCTGCGCCGCTCCGGGGGCCCCCAGGCTCGGCCTCGCCGCTCCGGCCCTGCTGCCAGCGAGAAGGAAGTTTACTTGGTGCTGGTGGCTGAACTTAGAGCGTGTGGGGAGCTCGCTGCGCCCCTCCTTCCCACGCGCACACTCCCCCTCCGCCCGCAGGGCGAAATGAGGTGCCTTTGTGGGTTCCGAGCTGTAAGAAGGCAAGAGACCTGGGTCGAGGCGCAGCACCCTGGGGTCGCGGCCCGGGTGGATACTCTTTGCTGCCGGTTGCTCCCTAGACAGTGCAGGGAAACCGGGTGAAGTATCGAGTTCCTGCTCCCCAAATTTATTCCCGCATCTTCTCCCAATACATGCACCTAGAGCCTCCCCCTCCCCAAAAATCTTGAGGCTCGGTGTATGTCCTCTCTGAATTGTGGTGCCCAGGACTTCCAGACCGGCCGAGGGAAAAGTCGTAGGGGAGTTTTTCAGGGCCGGGGAGGAGGAGCAGGTAGCCAGCCGGAGGAGACGACCCCTGACACAGAGGAGCAGGAGCCTTCTCCAATGGAGGCTTCAGCTGCGGGGTCCCGAAAGGAATGGACAAGTCCAGAAAAAAAGTTTGTGTGAGGTAACTGCGGCCGAGAGGAGGAGAGATCCGGCCAGGGCATTAGGGATTCGGAGGGAGGATACCTACTACTCTTCCCTGATCCAGAAGGTGTTCCCGGTAGGGGCCTCCGAGCTCCCAGGCCTAGCGCCCGGAGGCGATGGAGCGGCGCCGGGGCTCCGGTCATTCCGGCGAGATTCTAGTCCCTCAGCTGCAGGAGGACGAGGGGCATCCTCGGTCGGGGCTCCGTGGTTCTGGATGCCTCTAGGGATGTTCACATCCCGGGGGACTTTGGGGGGTACGGAGGAGGGCGCTGGATCCCAGTAGAGCTCCTCCGAAGCGTGCCCTTAGGTCGGCACCTCGGTCCACCAAACTGCGGCCGTCCTTCCCCAGAGGCCTGCCTTTCCAAAGGTCTGGGGAGCAGCGACCGGTGCAGAACACAGCAGCGGAGCAGAGAACCCCCCTCTCCCTTTACCTGGAGTCGGGAAAGGGGACTCCTGATGTGGGATCCCTGTAAAAACCTGGGAGACTTTAGACCGATTCAGAAGACTGCTTACAATACTTGCTCCTTCCCAGCACTTTCTTGAGCTTGAAGCCTTGTCTCTGCGATGTCTCAGTCCTGTGCAAAGAACCCCTAAAACCCCACTTTCTTACCC